ACCTGCTTCGTATCTTCCCCTCATCTTGCATTCCATACTTACCTCCATCGATCTCCTGATTACTATCGTGCGCGTGATCGAGCCGCCCACGCTCTGCATCTTCGCCGTACGTCCTTTGCTAAAATTCACAACGCGTTCTTCTCCAATGCTCCGAAAAGACTAACTCTTTCAATCCTCCAGCGGCTGATCCCCACCGTCTTCCTCCTGACTGTCTCTGCAGTCCTTCCCCCGCCATCCGCTCCTCCCGTAATAGCTGGCATCTTCCGCCTCCCACCCCATCGTACTATGTTTTCCCTCTGATACACTTTTTTTTGATCTCTCTCACTGCCTGCTTGGAGTCCGAGATCCTGTCGAACCGCTGCTAATCGTGTCATCTGACCACGAAACCCACTTTCGACTTCCCAGCGGGACCCGGTCCCACTTTTCAACAGGGCCTATTCCTGGTAAGTACTCCCCTGTTCCTTTTACTCGACAAAAACCCAACCTGGAGTCCGTCTGCAAAAACCGCTCCTACTATTCGGACCCAGATCTTTCCAAAATCTTCTTTTTCTTTTTTCTACCCCCTAAATCCAAAAAAACACATCCCTCTTAACCTGCCTATATCACTACCTATATTTTTCCTATTATTTTACAAACCTCGGGGACCCATGTATCTAACGAGTCCGGGGTACTCTGCGGGGAGATAATCCCCCCACGGACCTCCGGACACTCTGGCGAACCTAGCCAGAGCCCCGAGAGAGAGAGAGAGAGAGAGAGAGAGAGAGAGAGAGAGAGAGAGAGAGAGAGAGAGAGAGAGAGAGAGATTTGTGACTTTGGGCAGGAGCCAGTGCAGGAGGCTTGGTAGTAGTACCTAGCGATAGGAGTAGTCTTCAGCGCTGGGCTCTGCTAGGATCTTAGAGTAGCGTTGGGAGAGAGGGAAGTGGAGGAGGCCAGGGAGACTTACCTGGGAGCTTACCTGTGGCGCCATAGCTCCAGCTTCATCTTCGATGTACCTGCAACAAGGCGCCAC